ATGAACCCTGCAAAAGAGTAGGAAAGCTGTTAACTCATTTATGACTGGCCTTCAGACTGATGAGAAACAACCAACTTCTGCTACTTTCAATTACCAAAATATGTAATGTTTTATTATACATCAATTGCCAATTCATTCAGAAGTTGTATAGCTGTATACTCTGATGAAATCATGGTTTTGGTAGAATTTTCTCTACATTTTTCAATTTGAATGATTGTTATAGACATCTTACTTTTGAAGCATTTTGTATTCCATAGATAAAAAGAATGATATGTAGGCAAAAATAGAGGTAGGTTCTTCTGTTTCCTAATGCCAAAATCTCAGACATTTATCTTCTTGGCAATGTGCTAAACATTAGAAATACAAATATAGAGGGGAATAAATACTTGAGATAATTTTACTATCCAGCATATGTATGTTTTAACAATCACAATTCTTTCTTTTTTATTTCTGTATTTAGAACAGGGTTTACAGGGTCTCACTTCGTAGACCAGACTCGTAGTGATTCTCCTGTTTTCAGCCTCCTCCAAAGTGTTGGGATTACAGGTGGAAACCACCATGCCCAGTCTCAATCACTGTTTCAGCATGCCCCGAGGGCAGGGCTGGCATGGTAGGGCAGGGATCAGACCCTGGCCACTGCGCTCTGCCTGAGCAGGCACTTCAGTCCAGGCCAGCCCTAACAATCACAATTTTTGAAAGCAAACAATCTGAGTTAAAATCTTGTCTTTTTCTCTTCCTAAGGGAGTTGATACCTCAACTCCAACATTCCTAGAGTAGAATTATTGCGTTATCTACTCCTCTGTGAGATTGTTGGGAAGATAGCCTGAACTGAGATTATAGTTAGAGTCATGCCTGGCATTCAGAAGCTCCCATTAGATGTTAGCTATTAGCCCACATTTTTTTTAAAAGCATGAAAACACAGTACAGAACTGTGCGGTGTGACAAGGGCAGAGCAGTGGGACAGCCACCGTGAAGAATGTGGGTTAATAAAGAAAACCAGACCTTTACGAAGTTACTTGGAACTTTGAAACCACATCTGCATTACCGAAGAATAATGCACCAATGGCTGTTAGAATATCTTCTAGTTTTGAAATCCAGCATTTATAGAATATTCTCCAGCACCACACATACTGTAAATTCCCAATGAGTTTAGTACTTTAATATCAAAATTGCTTCCAAAAGAGTTCTAATTTAATGAACTCAGTTTGTGTCATTGTGTGTGATGGGAGAGGCAAGCTTGACACGATTATTCTACAGGATATTCTGGCCCCTGTGTAATAATATTAGGAACAAAAAGGGGACCATTTATTCTCAGGATTTATAGCAAAGAATAGAGACGCAAACCTTAAGAATGTAGCGAGCTTTGGTGGAGAAGCCTAAAGCCTATTAAATCCCACTAATAAGCACAATGCTCACATCTATATTCTCCTGATTTTTAAGCAAGGTTAGTGAATTCATTTTATTTGCTATTGTGTATTTCTGATTACAAGATGCTGTCCCCTGCTGTTTGCTAAAGATTACACCACCTAGTCATACAGCGAGATGATATAACTTTATTTCACCACTCAAATGTCTAAAATTCAGAGGAGAACCAATGCACAGCCCCGTAGGACCACAGAACACACTTGCGGGGATAGCACCATGCCCCCTCAAGACATCTCAGCCCAGCAGCATTTTGTCCATCACATAATATTGGCCTCTAGGCAGACTGAGAGACGAAGATGCGATCAATTACTTGTCAAACAATTATTCCTTCTAAAAGAGACTTAGTAAGATTTTTACATGAAAAATGCCATACTGTGTTCAAAGGTAGCAACTTCTACTGCATCACTGTCTCTCTTTATGTTGTTAGTAAGAATTAAATTGGCACGTGTCCGCTCAGTGCTTATTTGAATTGCCGTTAAGTAAAGCCCATTGAGGACAAATTGGGCGATGCCGTTTCCCCCAGGGCTACACACTGACCCCAAGGCATCCGTGCCGTGATGACACCAGCATGTTCGTGATGGTCTCAGAAGAGCCAGCTGAGTTACTGCATCCTAGAAACGAGGAAATCTGTAAATAATGGACCTGAGCTCTTTGAGGCCCAAAGTATGGCGGCGATATACCACCTGTGGCTTTTAGCTTCCCTTCTCCCACATGTAGAATGGTTTAGGAGCACAAGTGAGTATTTCACAGGATGAGGAATGCGAGATGCCGAGCCAAAGACCACGCACATGTAGTATGGGTGCGTGGCAGGTGTGGGAAGAGGTAGTGTGGCTGCCGAATGAGGAAGCAAGCGGCATTAGTGAATCTTTCACTTTTCTTTTGGGTTGGCTAGCACAGATCTTTGATGCTTTTTTTGTGTGATCGATTAATTCATCCCGAAAGGTGTTAAAGATGTTTAGAAGGCTGCTAATAATTACTTTCAGGGAAAAAAATGGCCTCCTTACTCTCAGATTCTCTGAAAAGAGAATTTTCATTTCAGGTGGCTAATTTCAAGTGCGTTTAAGAACCAGAGGCTAGAGGCTTTGGAAGCCATTTACAGCAGCTAGCAAATGCATTTTAAATGGTTTATTAGTTGGAAAACTGTAATTGAAAACACAAATTTAAGTTATAATCTACTGCCTCGTGGTGTTTTGAAACAGGCAGCGCTCATTCAAGAGGAACAGTGTCACCACCCCTCACGTTGACATTACCCATAGCTACACTGAAGCTCTCTGCAGGACAAGCTGGAGAAAATATAATTTATGGGCAAGAAAGTTCTCCTCCCCAGAAGGATTGACGTCTGAGAACGCATTAATCATATATCTTGCCCCCCCAAGAGATTTTAAAATGTTAAGTTTGCAATGATAAGTAAGGCAATATGCATTAACTGTAAGGGTAACAAAAAAGAAAAAAAAGTTGGTGTGCGCTTGGGTGTGCCGCCAATGTCCCCTAGTAAAAATATTCCTTTTGGATACAACCTCTTATCCTGGGCTACTCAACTCTGTTTATAATTACTTTTGAACCAAGTACATAATCCTGGTCTCTCAAAAATGAAAGAAACTCAGCACAGAGATATTTAAGTAAGAAGGTGACATAGAAAACTTTATTTACCCTCCTCCTCCCCTAGATCTCATTTTGTTGCTTATATCCTTTATCCACGCGGGTCAACCATCGTCCCTAACTTCATCCACCTCGCATCTTAGCATCGCACAGCTGAAGGGCACGACATGAATGAAGGCCCACAGGAAGGGTGTGCAGACCACGACACAGGCAAAAAGAGAGCGGTGCACAGCCAGTATTAACACCGTGGTCTGTGGCCCCGTCCCTCCTTCTTAGCAGGCAGAGGCTGCAACGCACCACGCGCTTCACTAACGCGACGTGATGGAAAAGCCTACACCCAGGAGCGAGGGAAGCTGGAATTGAGTTGTCAAGCTGTCCTGGATGTCTTGTACAAGCCGAACAGGCCAATTTACCGCAACGCTGCCTGGGCTGAAGGCGCCTATCTCGCCTTTACAGTCGCTTCCTTCCAGCGAGATTATCCTGCTCGACCACAGGCTCCCGCCCAGGCAGCTTCGGCGCCACTCCTGAGCCTTTCTGAGGAGCCAATTCTAAGGGGTAGAGCTGCTGCGCTAATCCTCACCTTGGGACCAGCATGCTGCACTTGGGAGAGACTCTTATATCCTCCTACAATCTGAAAGCAACAGCTCTGTATGCCTGGTGATAATTTTGAATCTTAGTGGTGATTGGATTTCACTGTTTTCCTCTTTGTAGCTCAAAACTCCTAGATTTCCGGATGAAAAAACCAGGCCGACTTTGCTGGGGGGGGGGGGGAGGAAGAAAGAAAGAAAGAAAAGAAAAAACCGACAACTTCTCCCACACAGCCCGAATTTCTTTACCTAACGCTAACCTCGCGGGTGGGGGTTGCTTCAGCACCGCGCCGTCCCCGCTCTGGCCTCCAGGTGGCAGCAGTGTCACACACGAGAGGGTCCGGGCCCCTCTCCCGACTTCAAGCGTTAATGCAATTGACCAATCGCTGCTAAGATGATGGGAGGTAATTGGGTAATTGTATTTTACTGATCACTAGCAGAGAGAGGGGCAGGGGAACCGGAGAGGGGCAGAGGCGAGTGGGGCACTGCGGCCCTGGAGGAGCCTTGGGGAGCCGGGCCCCGGAGGACGGGCCAGGACTGGGTGGACTGACAGCAGCCTGGCGGAGCGGCGGGCGCGCGTGCACGGGCCCGGGGGAGCCGGAGAGTTCAGAGCCGGGGCGGGCCGGGGGCGGCGGGGCCGCGAACTGGGCCGGGACCGAGCAGCCGCGCCACCGCCGCCCCGCGTCCCGCCGAGCTCGGGGCCGCGCGCCGCGACCAACTTGTGGCTGCGCAGTCCGGCGGAGGGCAGCGCGGGGGGCTGGTTTTGTATTTTAACCCCCTGCGCTCCCTCCTGGGTCTTGGCTCGTTCTTTTCCTTCTTTTTGCGTTTTTCTTTAATTCTTAATTTCTTAATTTTAATTTTAATTTTTGTTACATTCCGGCGGTCCCATCGCTGCCCTCGCCCCGTCGGAAAAAAAGCCCGCGGGGCGCTGCACCCCTCTCCTCTTCTTCTTCTTCCTCCTCCTCCTCCTCCTCCTCCTCCTCCTCCTCCT